TCAACATGTCAGGATCATATTTAGGGAAGAGTCTAGTCAGACCACACACACTAACAATACCAGTATTGCTAGCAATGTCAACGTGTTCTTTGAATGTCTCTGGAGCAAAGAGAATCCCATCCACCTCAGTTAGTAGTATACCCTTATTCACAACAACCCATACCTTCTCTTCACTTTTAAGAACACTCATCAAACCAGTTGAGTGCAACGAATCAAGAACATCCAAGACGTCTTCTCTCTTATCTGGTATAAAGTAATCATCATTGTCCTTACCAGCACACATTACATCAGAGAGGGTCAGTATATTCTCTTTCCTTTTCTCCAGTAGACCATACATCATGTGACAATAAAGACTCAAATTCCTTCCACTTGTACTACGAATCGACTCACAGGCACTACACAACTTATTAAAGAAGGAATCCACACCACTCCCACCAAGCTTACGACAATCTAAGAAGACGCTATCACAGCTTTCCTTTACAATAATCTCCTGTATTTCTTCCTTTCTCCTTCTCCTTTCAACAGGATTACTTATCTCATCCACATGACTGACTATTACAATAACATGGCATTCATTAAGAGCTTTCTGTGCTTCATTTCTTACAATTGTTAGCCACTGATGAAGCTGTTTGACTGGTTCCTTCTCCAATATATTGACTACTATCAGGAACACACCACCAGAACCTTGTAACAGATTCTCAATCACAGCACTGTGACTGGAGTAGTATTCCGAATGACCAGCAAAATCATGAAGAATGATGTTACCCAGTGTCCTGTGTTGTAGTTTATAAGGAATGATGCCAGCAGTACAGGCCACTACCCCTCCAACATTTCTAAAGGAACCAAGAACAATAGAACTAATAGCTGTGTCCTTGATGACGTGACTAAGAGTACTTTTACCAGCTCCAGGATTACCCACAAGGAGGACGTTAACATAAGAATCAACTGGATGAGATGATTTTATGCCACCAAACTTCTTAAAGACAGAAAGAGTATCAGTGCGACCTCTCTTCTTAGCTAGTTTAAATGGTGTGTCCCCATACTTGTCTTTAGCCAATGGATCACATTTACCAGTTGATAGTAAATATTCAGCAGCTGCAGATTTACCATAATTAGCAGCACGGTGAAGAGGTGTCCGCCCCCACAACCTGTCAACAGCCATTGGATCACAGTGACACTCATCAATGAGATATCTCATCACATCAACATGATTACGTTCTGCAGCAAAATGAAGACAAGTCCGCTCCAGAATATCTCTTTCGTGTAGGTCACAGTGATATTTAGTGATGAGATCTTTTGTAACATCTAACCAGCCATTCCTTGAAGACAAATGAAGTAGACGGCTCCCTACTCTTTCAAGTTTATCCTGTTCCTTCACTAATGGTAGCAAGCGAACAGCTTCTTTATGATCTCTATTGTTAAACGCATCCCAACACTTGTTCTCTAAGGACATCTTGTGATCAGTTAATTAGATTCATTGATACCAGCCCACACACAGAGCAGGAATTCATTAATCATGATAGGGAGCATAATAATGACACTCACTCCTCTCTTATAAATATTACATACATTTGGAATTAAAGACAAAGGTAATTATAACAATACAGTTAATAATAAGTGTACGTGTATTTTGTATTTTTGTGTTTATTTCTTCTTTTCCTTTCCCTTCCCTTTCTTCCCTCCTCCTCCATCATCCTCTCCCATTGCTTCTTTGATAGCTTTAGCTCTCTTCTTTCCAAGAGGAGTCTTGTTAAACCAAGACAATAATAATAATAATAATAATACTTATTTATTAGAAAAATGTAATAGAAAATAATAAAAATAACTATAATAGAAAATAAATAATAGAAAAAAATGATAAAAAATAGAAAAAATTAATAAAAGGACAAGACTATAAAATAATAATATAAAATTACCAGAAACTGTCTGCTCTACTGCTACAGGTACATGTATACAATGAGGGTACAAGTATTAATAATGAGGTACACTACTAGTGCTATTGATGAATGTGTTCCACTGTATCTCATGGTATTACTTCAACTGACCCAGTCCCCATTAATCCTTTGAGCTGATTGCATCTTCCAGTTACTATCAGTGTTAAATAATTCCTCTCACTGACCCTGGAGTAAGACCTGGGAGTGATGCTGAAGGAATTAGTGACAGAACCAGCAGATGGAACATTACTACAGCAAAGAGAAAACAACAATAAATCATCCATCCCTCCCTCCCCCCCTCTCTCTCTTACGCTGATTTTAAAGTACGGGCTCCTATTAATCCAGTTCCTTCAATGTGTAGTGTCATGTTGGTCAGTGATTCATTCTTCAGTGGATTCTTCAGTGTCACCTTAACACTCACAGTTCTACCACTCTTCAATTTAACATCATCACCTGATAAGAGGTAATAGAACCAATTATAAAACACTAATATTTTAACCATGAACTTTTAACTTAATTAATTTTACGTACACTAATATTTAACCTCCAATAATCCTTATTTTCCCTACCTTTTCCATCAATGTTAATGATCAGTTGTGGTAGCTCCAGGTTCAATGGTATCTTATGAACCCAGGCCTGCTCTGGATCCTCCACATATCCTAGTATTGTGACTGATATCAGTGGCTGCTCTCCTAAGTGTTTCCGATATTCGGTAGCTTTTAAAACAAATGTAACATCAACAGTGTCATTATTGTTTGGCCCTAGTAAATATAATTTTAATAATAAAATAAATGTATGATTTAATTGGTTTACTTAAGATTGATTTTGATTTCTTGATTTCTTTCCCGACTACTCCAGTGTATGTGGTGGTCTCAAAAACAGCAGTCACATTAATATTACCTAATTAATAATAATAATAATAATAATAATAATAATAATAATAATAACAAAAACAACAACAATTATTATTATTATCATTATTATTATTACTTGAAATTGGTGAGTCAATTTTAGCAGTAACTCCAAATGTCAAATCTTCTCCAATTCTCCGTCCAGAGGTCAATTTAGCCGAGAAACTAACAGCTCCCTTCTCCTCCTCCTCATGGCCCCTCCCACCCATCAGTGCCGCCCGTTCAGAGGCACTTCCCTCAGGGTACTTATAATGAGATGTCACGTCTTCCCTGGAGTTTCTCCCGACAGCCTTCGTACTGATGTGCTTACCAACTTTAGTCTCATGCCTTGAGACGACAGAAAAAGAACCGTCCGATTTCTCAACATGATATTTTATATCAGCGTTGACCTCCGCAATCACAAACTCGTTATCATACTTGAGATCTTTACCGTCCTTAATAGCCTATGCATGTAGCACATGTTAATTATTGCCTTATTAGGAAGTGTCGTTACGTACCTGGATGGAGGCGGGGCCTACTACCATCGTACGGGAGTGAGGTGAGAGTTCTTGTGGTGTGGCATCAACCGCTTGCCAGCCGCCATAGTCCCCATCAAGATCAGGGCGCGTCATCCAGGCCTCCACCCACACGTGATAGTTCCTAATGAATGGAGGAATACCTTCATAAATAAAGTATGGGCTTGGGGACAATTTTGGAGCAACTTTAAAAATTCATAAAAAATCCAATTTTGATCGGAATCTGCTCAAACTTTCTATACAACATAAGAACATGTATATGTATCAGGAAATGTAATAAAAATGGAGAATTCTCTCCTTTTCATTTTTGATGAAATTTGGTCAAAATCCCTGTACTATAGTACAGGGACTTTTGTCCGATTTTGGAGCAACTTTAAAAATCTATTCTAGATTACAATCAACTCAAACTTTCTACACAACATACATGTAAGTATATGTATATGCATCAATAAAATATTACTGGCTATTGTTCCCTTACCATATAGAGTCATTGCTCTTATCTTCTATCATCTTATCATTTCTATCAAAGTAGTAATCTATTGCTCTGTTGAAATCAGCATCATGGGCTGATTCAAAGTTAGTCACTGGACGAGAAGGAATACCAATAGTCCTCAACACTAAAACAAACAAACAAACAAACAAACAAACAAACAAACTATCATATAATTTTGAAGGAGTAAATTTTGTCAAATTTGGGTCATTCAACAATGGCTATTTTGAACCATCATGATCATGCTTAACCATAAATTTAAACGGCCAATCACCAAAAATTTAGCGCAATTTACTAAAATTTTACTCCACCACTAAAATTCCCAATAGCCTACCTGTGGTAAGAGTCCCTCCAAATACCCAACACTGAGCGTATCGAACTGGTTTCTTGTCACTCATGTACTGGGTTAGAATAGCTTCAGATCCACTCCAGGAGGTGGGGCTAGTGCCGTCAGCATAATCATCATCATTGGAGGACCATAGACCAATCAATGTTCCACTGTCACCATCATTATTATTAACCTATTAATTAATTAACATTATTAATTATTATTATTATTATTATTATTATTATTATTATTATTATTATTATTATTATTATTATTATTATTATTATTATTACCATATTTGCTAAACATCTCGTAACGTGAATTGGACTCCGCCTAGCATCAGATCCCAACCTCCATGAATCCAACATGTACAACACTGTCTCAAGACTTATCACCTCAAACTGATAAACAACAACAAAAATGATAATAAACAACTTGTTTTTTGTTTGTACCTGTGCAAAGTTCCAAGGCCACGTGAAAGTGCTGTCGTGAGTCCCCGCCCATATCAGTCCAGTCTCATTGTTAATGTACTCATTCCTCTCCCTCTCATTTGGTAGGTAGACACTATCATCTAATGGAAGGGGCGTGGTCTTAATAATGAATAATTAATTAACCTCACATAAATACATTAATAATAATTAAATAATACCGTAGATCAGGAAATTTTCATGTTAGAAATAATTGGCGTGAAATTTTTTCAAGGTATTTTATTTTCACTGGTTGACCCATCTGCAAAATTTTTCCAACATGAAAATTTTTGGACGCGTCATAAACCACACAAGTGGCTACTAACTCTTGATGACGATGGACAGCTATTCAATGGAAGTTGCTCGTGACAGTACTAAAACTGAAAAGGAGCCTCTTGGGTGAGAACTTCAGGCCTTCTTGGGCTTTTAGAAGACTAGAAGAGCCTCGTGGGTGCACCGCTGCACGTTAGAATAATTCCGGTAATCTTATTATTCACTGTAAAAAATATTTCGTGTGTCAAATTTTCGCGGGTCACTTCATCCGCGAAAATATTTTAACAACGAAATTTTCCCGATCTACGGTATGTGTGTATTAATACATGTACATGTACAGACATACCTTTATTCCACGGGTTAAAGAGGAACACTATTTCTTTCTTGTCCTCCCAAACTCGTTCGCCTTTTGACTTGTTCTTCCCGAGGGGAACACGGACGTGACATCGGTAGCTGCCCACTGGTACATCGGGCGGAGTGTGGACCCTATACCGGACCTCGCCATTAGTTGAACTCACAACCTAAACAACAACAATACACAACAACAGTAAACAACAACAAAATAATAATAATAACAACAACATTATTTGATTTAATAATAATAATAATTTATTTTCTTACTTCCATTTTCCATTGATAATGTCTTCTTGATTTCCCTCCACAAATTGCTTGGAACAAGGTACCTCTTGATATCCTTGCCCTGTACCCTCGGCGTAACTCTAGTTTAACCAAATCAGGGTTGAGTCCCTCGTGATTTGAGATCTCAATTATGAAATCAAACGTGAATCCTCTCCTGAGCACGAGATGATTCGGTGATTCAAAGGAATCGGTTTCATGTTTCTCTTGATTTTGATTCCAAAGCAAATCAACACTTTTAATGGAGACAGTTGGCAGTGCTACAAGTAAATAAAATATGTCAATACACATTGTACAAATACCTCAAACTTTCTACACAGCATAAGGGCATCAATATGTATCAAAAATGTAATAAAAATTCAGGGTAATTTCAGAGCTATTTTTTTAAAGCCAAGGCCTTGGGTATTTTTCAAAAATTGGCCCGTTTTTTAAAATACTCATAACTTTAAAATATTTGTTGGAATATAGCAGCATAAGGACATTAATATGTATCAGAAAACTGTCGTGTGTAATTAAAAATGGTTTTTCACACATTATTGCAGTTTTGCATTGACTATACTGTACAAACAGTTTATACAGCTGATAAGAAATAAATTTAATAATAAACCCGCAACTGTAGTAGGTATATAAAAACTATGAATTTTATTGGAAGGCTTTATCAGTATCATAATAAATAAAATTAATGAATAAAAAAAATTGGCCATTATTATTACTTTCTCTGTTTCTCCTATTCCGTCCAGCTATTGGATTGGAACGAGCAGTAGTCCTACGAGATCTCCTACCTCTTGGCATCCCTCCCTGACTCCCTCCTTTAAATAAAATAAAAACAAAGAAACTTGAAACTTGGCCCTTGTTATCGACACAATTTAATTATTACCGATACAGTTTTAATTATTAGAGGGTGTGGTCAATTACACAGCACACCCATTGTGGATCTAATTAATTATTCATCGATCATGATTTGAGTTTTGTTTTAACCTCCACGCCCATCAATAGATCTTTTTAAGAAAAAGAAGACGTGTTTCTACTGCTGCAACTTTCTCCCTTTACTTCTAAATTGAGACTGATCCTGTCTTTAAATCCAAAGTACCCCACCATCCAGCGTCTATTGATTATTCATTATATTTATTATACCTCATAGATACCATCATGGCCTCGTTTGGAGACCAATACTACTCCACTACAGTGAGTTACTATGGACCGTTTATACACTCTATTAACTTGTTTCTCTTTCTCTCTCAGTCTCTGCTGAGTTCATTCCGTGTTGCTGAGCTAAAGGAACTAATGAAGGCTATGAATACTTCAGCTGGAGGGAGGAAGAAAGAGTTACAGATGAGGGCAGATAAACTAGTAATGGCTGATGCTCCTGGCATCCACGCTCACATCAAAGACATTTATGAGAAGCATTTCGGACGTCGGGCCATCCCCCCGAAAGTCTCACCTCCAAAGCCTCCAATATCAGCGTCTACAGCCCCGGCCCCGCCCTCTTATGTCGTCAAGTATCCTGACGTTAAATTCAAATCCTATCCTTTCTATCAGCTGGTCGCTACCATCATGAGACCAACTTACCTAGGTATGACATCATAACTATTAATAGTTATTAATAGTTATTGATAGTTAATAAGCTGAGTTTTAAGTTTTTGCTATCTTGTTTTTTTACTTTTACTGAGTCAGCAGATTTCCCCTCTTTGTTATAAAATTTCACATAATTAATAATAATAATAATTTATAATTATTATGTAAAGTCATGTTCATGTACATGTTTCCCAATTCCCAGTTTCCTGTATCAGTTCTGGTCATGGGAAAGGGAAATTTCATCTTCACTTCCTTTTAGCATATTAATACACTATACAGTATGTGATTCTATTGTTTTGTCTAAATAAGGTGATCTCCCTCTCTCCCCCTAACTCTCCCCTTTGCTACATCAGGACTGCTGACTCAGCTATTAGTAATGTATATTTAATATTGATAAACTTTCCCTCTCTCTTTCCCTCTCTCCCTCTCTACCCTCTCTCTCTCTTCCCTCTCTTCCCCTCTCTCTCTTTCCTTCTCTCTGATAAACTTTCCTCTCTCTCTCTCTTTCTCTCCCTCCCTCTCTCTCCCTCCCCCCTCTCTCCCTCCCCCCTCTCTCCCTCTCCTTATAGTGACACAGAGTAGCATGTACAGTCGGGAGAAGGTTATGGTGACCCAATTTCACTTAACACCACAACAAGTCCAGGAGATATTCATATCAGAGTAAGAGAGAGAGAGAGAGAGAGAGAAGAAAGAGAGAGAGGGGGTGGGGGAGAGAGAGAGAGAGAGAGAGAGAGAGAGAGAGAGAGAGAGAGAGAGAGAGAGAGAGAGGGAGAGGGAAGAAGTACATGTACATGCAGTAGTGTTACGTCATTATCAGTGTGTAGTGTACAAAGTGTCTACCAGCTGCTCAAAGTGTGTGAATTGGAACACTATTAATTAATTAATTATTAATTTGTTTACGATTTGTAGGACCACACCCGGGAACTTTCAAACTCAAGTCATTTTGAGGTAATCAATGATAATAATAATAATAATAATAATAATAATAATAATAATAATAATAATAATGATGATGATGATGATGATGATGCCCCTCCCTTTTCTCGTTAGACTGTGTAGGCGTGAGACCAGCTGTGATCAGGAGGACTATTGTCCAACAGAGTGCCGACTCAGCATAAATAAGAAGAGTTGTGTAATACCAGTTAGTTATTATTAATAGCTATTTATAACTATTAATTATTATAAATATTTTTCTAGGGTTATAATTACAGTTTGTCCGGTCGTCCTGATTATAAGTACCTGATGAAGCCGATCAACATTACTTCATTTGTCCACACTTCAGCTCCTCAGGCCAACACTGTCACAGTCTCATGGAGGGATAGTCATAATGACCCACAGGTAAACATGTTGTTTACTGTTTATTGTTGTTGTTTATTGTTTGTTGTTGTTGTTATTGTTGTTGTTGTTATTGTTTGTTGTTTATTGTTTGTTGTTGTTGTTATTGTTTGTTGTTTATTGTTTGTTGTTGTCAGGGTTACTGTATGACCATACAGTTGGCTAGAAGCCTGTCTCCTTCAGATCTTCTTCAAACGTTGAAAGGAAAAGGAGTTAAATCTCCTGAAATATCCCGTGCCTTGGGTAATTAATTATTCACAAGATGGGTGTGGTCAATGTTAATTAACTCATTATATAGTTAAAGAAAAGTTAACAGTTGAAACTGATTCCGAAATATCAGCTACCAGCCTTAGGGTATCACTGATTTGTCCAGTAAGAATTTATTATTATTATTATTATTATTACATTATTATTATTATTATCATCATCATTATTATCTTTTTTTCTAGTTGGGTAAAGTCAAGATGTCTTATCCTTGTCGCTCTGTCTCTTGTAACCACTTGCAGTGTTTTGAAGCAGCAACTTACCTCCAACTAAACGAAAAGTACTACATTAACATCAATATTATTAATAATGCTACACTTTTCTCCTCTAGGAAACCCAAATGGTTATGCCCAGTCTGCGACAGGAAGGCACCATTTATTGAACTCATTATTGACGGGTACGTACATGTACATGTACTTCATGTATAGGGTCACATGACCTCCTGTCACATGTTCAACAGGTTATTGAAGGATATCTGCTCTCAGTGCGAGGAAACTGAGATTGAGTTCAGTGGGGATGGGTCTTGGAAACCAATTAGAGAATCAAAATCAAGTAATTATTTATTTATTTATTTATTTATTTTGTTGTTTTTTTATAGAAGATACTTGTACTATATCAGACGCTCCAATTATAATTAATCCTTCTACAGCTACAACAGGTAATAATAATTATTATTATTTATTATTTTATTATTCATTTTTTTCTTCTCTTTTAAAGGTACTTCTTCCAACCCACCTGCTCCAGTAGTCATTGATTTAACTTTAGAATCAGACGATGATGATGACGATGATGATATTTCAGTTAGGTACGCCTCAATTAATTAACTATCAATGAATAATTAATTATCAACTTTGTGAATATTCAATAATTATTACTTATTACCACATGTTACATGTTATATATCGTGATTGTAATTGAACTGATCAGTAAGAAACTTTCATGTATAATAATAATGATGATGATTGACAATTATTAACAATTTTTTGAAATACATTAATTACTTTTTCCTTGTCTCTCTTTCCTTCTCTTTCTTGTGTTTGTCCTTTGCTTTTTTGCTGTTTGTTCTTCCCAGGATGAAAGATGAAGATCATTCTACAGTTGGTCCTAATGCAGGCTCTGATGGCCCACCCTCTCCATCTCTCCTCCAACTCTCTATACCAACATTCCGGTTCCCCCTCCTCCCTTCCTCCCCTACCCCTTGTCCTCCCTCTCCCCCCTCCTCCTCCTCCTCGGCTCCTAAATTCCTGAGACTTGGCCTCTCTAGCTTACCCTCTATGGGTTCTTCCTCCAGTACCCACGTACCTGTAATACTTGATTCTAGGAGTCATCCTGGCCACACCCACAATCCGCTAGAGAAGGATCGGCCTCGTACAAATATATCGTCTATTCCTTTTCGGATCATGCCACCTGCTCCTAGCCTGCTTGATAGTTTGAATTTATCAGCTAGATTGAATGATTCGAGACTAATGATTAGTTATAATAATTATGGTGGTGGTGGGAGGGGTTCTAGCAGCGATAGTGAAGATGATGATGCGTATATTAATATTGTTGATATGTTGAGTGAGAGGGAGAGGAGGAAGAGAAAGCGACCAACAGCTCCTGCTCGTATATCTTCGTCACCAGAATCAGATCTCTAACTGTTATTTATTATTATTAATATTATTATTGTTATTATTATCTGTTTACATTATTATATTATTGTTATCATCAGTGACCGGCCATAGGTATTACTATTATTATTATTATTATTATTATTATTATTATTGTTATTATTATCATGATAAAAATGTTGTGGTATTTTGTATTAATTAATTTTGGCGCCTTTAAAAATAGTTTCAATCACGTGATCCTCCCGAGACGTCACTTACAAATTTAACTTAGCTCAGCAAAACTATCAAATTTCAATCAGATCTTTAAGAGTGTTTGTTCGTTTTAGGCAAAAGTCTCTGGCTCTCTGGCCTTCTTTTAAACCTTTACTGTACAAAGACTTGTGCCTATAAAGCCTAGAACCTTTCTATTCTTCATTTACAGTTGATACCAGCCTGTGTCAAGGGTATTATAATCTATCCGATAGTCTATTTTGTGTAATGAGCACAAGAGAGGGATATGGCTCACTGTACGAGTAGCCAGGAGTCTTTACAAATCAGCGGAGGGACGGCTCCTCTTCCTTCAACTACGGGAGAGCTCAGTCAAGCAGAGATACAATCAGTTCTCGACTCGATATTCTTCTCGACTTCCTCCTCTCTCCCTCTCTCTTCTTCTCTTCCTTCGACCGTATCTCAGTCTTCTTCTTCCTCTGTCACTACTACTGAAGCTGATCTCGTCCAGCAGCAACAGCAACAGTGTCTGGTTGATGAAGAATCAGCAGGGACAAGACCTTCTACTCAAGCTAAGTATGTCACCTCCACTTCTTCAGGAAGAAGGTTAGATCCACTTCTAATAATGTTCTGTCTACATGTATATACATGTTTCCTTTCTTTCTGTGTCCTTAGTGAGTTTTTGTGAATAGCTTGTAATATTTTGTTTACACAGATTTTATTTTTGCTAGCTTGATAAAAGAGTAATTATAAGCTTTTGATTTTTGCGCTAATTTTGGACCTCAAAAATTCCTAAAGTTACACTTTATAATGTGATTAATATCACCTTTCCCTCTCTCTCTCTCTCCCTCCCTCCCTCCCTCCCTCCCTCCCTCCCTCCCTCCCTCCCTCTCTCTCTCTCTCTCCCTCCCTCCCTCCCTCTCTCTCTCTCTCTCTCCCTCTCTTTCCCCCCCCCTCTCTCTCTCCCTCCTCCCTCTCCCTCTCCCTCTCCCTCTCATAGGGTTGGTACTCAAGTCTCCTTGTCCCACCTGTTACATTCTCATTTATACATCACCCAGTCCTCCCTCTCTCTCGGCCCCACTGGTACTCAATCATTCGCTGGTTTTACTGGTATTGTCACATCAGTGGATGAGTCAAGAGGCGTGGTCTCGCTATCCTTGACTCCGCCCACAGCCAGTATCCATACCTTGCTCCTCTATCGTCCGAGCGTCCAGTTATTAGAACCTATTAGGCCTAAGGAAGGAGATATGGTAAGAGTTATCAGAGGACCTAGTGCTGGTCTTGAAGGAAAACTTGATGTCTGCAAAGAGACATTTCAGTTCATGATACGGAGTTTATGTGGGACTTATGGACAACTAATCGGGATTAATGATCTTGTCAAACTAGTCAGACAGGCTTCGACGATGCCTACAGCCACGCCCACGTCTCCTCACCCTGCCCTTTCCCCTTCTCCCCCTCCCTCCCGCCCACTCTCTCTTGGAACTAACGAATTCTATGTCACGCCCTCTAACCAGTTATATGAAACCACGCCTCTTTCTTACGAAGCGATGAGTCCTTCCCTCTCACCTTCCAGCCCCTGGACTCCGTATTCTCCTCAAGAACCAACCGAAAGCATCTCTGTCCTTCCCTCCCCTCTCTCTCCCCCATCCACCATGTTCCCTTCTCATACTCACCTTCCTTCTCCATCATTGCAAAGCCACGCCCCCTCACTAAGAAACCACGCCCACCAAATGCTACCATACTCTCAATACGGCCAGTGTAGTCTATATCCTCCAGGCCATGCCTCCTCCGCAGTTATGGCTCAGTGTCGGGTCCCTATGGGCGGAGTCAATCAGTCGCTCCGTCTCCCCTCTCCCTACATGAGATTCAGTAGATTACAAGCTCCGCCTACTTATAACCAGTCAATTGCTGGTCGTGTTAATGGATCAATCGCCTCCCAGAATGGTTATAGAGACAGGAGTATTTCTGCTCCAGGCTCCGCCTACCAGAGCAGAAGTGGTCCGGGCCAGACCTCAAGGGATTCTTGCTGTATCTTAAAAAAGATATTCAATTATTCTTCAAGCCCCGCCCCCTCTAACGAGTCCAACATCATTGAACAGTTAAAGAACTTGGCTTGTCCCTCCAATGGTACATCTAAATTCAAATCTCCTGTTTCTTGTCCGGGCCGAGTGATACAGCCTGACCTGCTGATAGATAAAGTGATTAATAACCTGATGTGTATAGAACCACCTGATGACTGGTACAGCAGGGGAACCAATGACCAAGAAAGAATGAGTGGGTCACTAATTGTAGTTTTAGTGTTGTACATGTACATGTACATGTACATAGTTCATGTTTCACGATGATGAAATAATAATTACTGTGTTTGTTTTTATGCTTTTTTTTGCTTTTGCATTACATACATTGCATACTCTGTTTCCTAATTCATTCTATCATAAATGAGTCAATACTTGTATATACAATCATGGAGGTTACAGTCCTTGTACTTGTTTGAATGTTTAGTTGTGCAGCTGCTACTAGTTGTAATGTTTTTTTGAATGTCTACATGTAGCTGTAATTATTAGTGTTTTTATTTAATTTTTAATTGATAATTAATTGATATTATAATTACTTTATTATTGTTTTAAAGATCCCTCCTCACTAGCTAATGATGTACCATTAATTCTTATCATTTCCAGGTGTATCTGATGAGATATGTACTGAGAGTGTAGTGGTATCATCAAACTGTCCAGTAAGATATTAGCAATAATGAATGACTGACATTATAATCTCTATCTCTCTCTCTCCCTCTCTTTCCCTCCCTCTCCTCTCTCTCTCCCCCCTCTCTCTCCCTTTCATAGCTTACTAAACAGAAGATGGCCTACCCCAGTAGAGGTCTCCATTGCTACCATTTACAATGTTTTGATGCCAAGGCTTTTCTACAAATGGCTTTGAGAAAGTAAGAGATTAAGATGACAATAATAATACTGAATATACATGTATATATGTGTCTGCTACCTAATGTACATGTACATGTATTTGTGTTTGTATATTGTTAGGTATAGGAAGAGCGTGACATCCAAAGGTCAAGGGTCTGGGTCTAATGGTTTCTGTGGAGGAGTCTGTCTGAAGTGTCCAGTGTGTAATAAAGGGATTGGGCTGAAGGAACTAATTATTGACAAGTAAGGAAGAACTGGTAGGAATCCTTCCACCTGTAACTGACTCTGTCGTATGCCTTATTGGGTTTGAGGTATCAGAACAATCCTTTTAAAATAACATTGGAGATAACTACCAGGCGAAGACTACAGCTACACCTGTTGAGATGCAGCTGCTAGTTTTTAATTAAGTCTTTCAGTTCAGTGCCAACTCATAGTGTCTGTAATAGTGTCTGTACTCACCTTTATTTGACCGGTGATACTATGAGAAGGGACTAATTAAACCATAATGGGTTCACGTAGCTTTTATTTTAGTATTCTTTTATTCTTTGTATAACTCCCTTTGTTCCTCTCTCTCTCTCTCTCTTTGTCTCCCTCTCTCTCTCTCTCTCCCTCTCTCTCCACTCCCTCCCTCTCTCTCTCTCTCCCCTCCCTCCCTCTCTTCTCTCCCCTT